AAGCTCGAAGTTAAGCGTGACTGTCCAACCAGTGTTCGTTAGCCCTAAGCTCGATCAACAGCTTAAGCAACACGAAATTAAGCCCCCTATTGTTAACCAACAATGTGTCGTTTATGAATTTAAATGTAACCTGTGTGATGCAGGGTATGTGGGCTATACTCGTGGTCACTTACACGAGCGCGTAGAAGGGCACACAAGGAAATCATCTTCTATCTACAAACACTACCACCTCCAGCACAATAGTGAAATGCCTGAACGCTTGATCGAGCAATTCAACGTCATCACGAAATGTAACGGCAAATTTGATTGCCTTGTTAATGAAATGTTGTATATTCGCATGCGTAAGCCAACACTGAACGTGCAAACGGATTCCATCCGCGCCAAGGTGTTTGTTTAAGCCGTTCAGTCTAATTTATGCTATTCTTGTACCTTTCCTTATTTGCATGTTTTTTAAACTAGTCTCTTGATAATGGAGTCACGATGACCCCGAAACGTCGAGTAATAAATCTTTCCTGGTTTTTTTATTATCATTTAGTATTATTATTATTATGTAGATGCTGTTTTACTTGTATGTAGCTTAATGAATTTTGTACAGTTTTTCCCCTTTTTTCTCCCATATTTCTTGTTAACATAATTTATCAACCTGTAATTCAGCATTCTTTGCAAAAGGTTTGAATAAACATTATTATCATTGTTATCATTATTATTATTATTATTATTATTATTATTATGGAGGCGAACTAGTATGGTGGAATTTGATTCCGTGAGTTATATATCTTTGATGAGTGTATTAGAGTTGATGGATTTGTTTTGATTGAACATGCATTATTTTAAGCAGTCCCCTTTCCTTAAAATTGCAAAATTCTGAGTATTGAAGCAAAATATTGACTATTGATGTTATTTTCGCAGTATTTTACAGGAAACAGGGATCAGAATAGCGTTGTGCAATATCGTCTGTTTCCACCAATCAAAGCTCGGTTTGTGCGCATTCGTCCTTGGGGTTGGCACAGACATATTTCTATGAGAGTGGAGTTCTTTGGATGCCCAGAAGGTACTGTTGTTTAGTCAAGGGAGCTCTGAAATAGCTATTGTAGTCCAAATCTCTGTCAGTGGTGAGCGCTTTTTACACAAAAGCGCAATAAAATTAGAAACTTTGTGATACTTATTCTGAGGATTGATTGATCACGATTCTTTGCTCTGACAAAGGGTTAATGATTAAACGTGAACTTTTCAAAAGCTGCTTTTTACGTACCGATGATACGACTACGTAATTTCTTCCTGATAATTAACGCGGTGACAAGGATGTTAACCTTTTCTACTTTGTGTCATTTATAGTTTTTTTTTTAATCAGACCTCCTTATCGATTATTTTCTTCGAAGTTCTTCCTTGCAAAATAAGTTTTTTTCTACCTTAGTCGACATCTTGAAAAGGTAACGTCGTTGAATTTGAACCAATAATGGGATAGAAAAAAACCTTCAAATTAAAGTAAATCTACTGGCCATAAGGTTTCTTTTGGATTCTCCTTTGGTCCTCTTTTTTTTTCGTCTTTTGATTCCTAGACTCATGTGGTGCTCCTCTTGGTTTGGAAGACAAGAGAATCCCAAATGGCCAATTTTCTGCCTCATCATATTACAATCATCACCTCGCACCGTGGCATGGAAGACTAAATCACCGGTGGTCATGGAGCGTACGACACCGTAACAACAAGCAATGGCTCCAGGTTAATATGGTGGAAATCTATCGTGTGAGAGGCATCGGATCCCAAGGCCGACAGGATGCAAATCAATGGGTGAAGAGTTATACTGTGGCGTATGGAATGAATGGGGTGGATTTCGCTCAGTATAAAGAGAATGGGAGAGTGAAGGTAAATGATGACGTATTTTTACTTTATATTGGCGTTTAACCCTTTCACTACCAGGATCTTGTCAGCAATTCTCCTTACTGTCAATCATACAATTTTAGTGATGTTACTCTGAAGAATTTGGTATTGGATCAACTAATGATTCCCTTATTGATATTTTTCTGCTCATCATTTGTCTGCTTGATATCGTATCGAAATTGTGAGGAGAAATTCTGTCTTGGTGATTCATGTGAGTTAAAGGGTTAAGGGACGAGAAAGAATAATTTGGGTGACAGACCTATTTTGAGGACTTGTTTTTATTTGTTTTTAGAAAGGAAATCGGTAAAGATCGGATCCCTATATAGTTGAACTTGTTTCCCGCGAAAAGTATTGAACTTGTCTCTCGGTATGCGTGGTACTTGAATTTTGAAGGAAAATTCCCTGAATTACGCTCACAGAGGTATTCATTTATTTGAAAGGGTTTCAGAAGTCTTTGGTCATTCAAGTTTTCGAAATAGGTGCACAAGGGTTTTGAGCGGATTCCATAACTTTTTAACCCTTTGACAATATCACCCATTAAGGTCAACGGAAATGATCACTGACTAAAGAAGTTCTTGATTGTTAAGCAAATTCTCCTTGTCAACCTCAGAAAATGTATAGCGAACAGTATGGAGAATATTCGTACTGATCCTTGGCTGTGAAGGTTAAGAAATTCCAAACGAATCCGACAATTATACTGTAGGTAACGGTCATATTACCAATTGCTAAATACAGTTTGACTATACTCGTTATTGAGACCGTGAGAAACGTTTTTACACAATAACATGTATTTTTGTTTGTTAAAGTTATTCACAGCCAATACAGACCGCCACTCACTAGTGTATCATAGATTCAATAAGAGACTTCCTGCTGTCTATGTCAGAGTTTACCCAAAGACCTGGTACAGTTGGATATCGATGAGAATCGAATTGTATGGATGCTCAGGTATTTGAAGAAACACGCGTAAGATTAATAGGGATAAAGTTTTGAAGCTTCCGTCAACAAAAGATTATGTACACAGCGGTCAGATACACTTTAATCAGTTTTCTTTTTTTTATTTGCTAGTTTGTTTTGCATTTGCACGTGTAAGAAAATCCGTCTACCGTAAGCAGTGCTGCTAACCTATGTACTCCCCCACCGGGACTTGCTAGTTTTCAGACGGACTTTTTAATGAGGGGGGGGGGGGAAATGTGGGAGTTTTGAACTCACTGATTTTTCTTCGTTGTTGTTTTTTCCAAAATGTTTATATTTTTACGTATATGGTTTTTATATAGCTGCTGTTTGTAACAAAGCCTTGGGTATGAAGAGTGGCGCTATTAGGAATAAGCAAATCACAGCTTCTTCAGAGTGGAACAAATACCACAATGCCAGACTGTCCAGGCTAGGGACCGTCAAACGAGGTCGGTACATGGGGGCCTGGAGCGCACGACACAACAATCACCATCAGTGGCTTAAAGTTGACTTTGGTCGACCAATGAAAATCAAGAAAATAGTCACAAAAGGTCGACAGGATACTAACCAATGGGTAACAAGATACCAAGTGACGTACAGTCAAGATGGAACGCACTGGACTATGTACCGATACAAGAGCAACGATGTGGTTCGTATTCTCGGTGGCACTTGTAATAAAAAATATCATATTGCTATCATATTACAAGCTTTACTCTTTATACCAAATAAAGATAGGTCTACTTTGTGTTTGGAAAGTCTGATTTAGTTTTTAATGAGCTGTTTTTGTCCTATAGTACTTCCAAGGAAACCGAGACCAACACAGTCTCGTATGTAATGTACTTAACCCATCAGTGATCGCTCGTTTTATGCGTATTATCCCACGAGGATGGTATCGGCACATCAGTATGAGGATAGAGTTCTACGGATGCAAAGCAGGTAGGATAAAGAAGAAAAATATAGCACCCTAGCTGTTTTTCTTAAACTATATAACTTTTAGGTCGTGTCGTATTATGATAAATCGTTATTTGTTTGGTAGCTTAGTTGAATTTTTCGTCTTCGAATTATTGAGAAAAACCGTTGTAGTTTTGATTTGCGAATTGAATCTCGAACCGTTTGAAAATCTGACCATTAATTTATTAGATTCTTGTTATTAAAAAAAAATTTCCTATCAATGGCTTGTTGGGTTTTCATTTTGCGCCTCGCCTATGATTGCAGACAAGTGCGAAGCCCCGCTCGGAATCCAAGATGGCCGTATAACGCAATCCATGATGTCTGCGTCCTCGTTCTACAACCGATATTATGGTCCATGGTCTGCCAGACTGCAGGCTCGGAAACACGGTGCAACCCGTGGTAGCTGGGTGGCTAGAGTTAACAACAATCGACAGTGGCTACAGATCGACCTCGGAGCCAAATCTGTCGTCAAGAAGATTGCCACTCAGGGCAGATATGATGCTAATCATTGGGTTACTAGTTACACGCTGTCGATTAGTAACAATGCTGTCAGGTTTTATTCTTACAAGGAAAATAGGCGCACAAGGGTAAATACACAATAAAGATAGTTACCAAATTAAAATGGGATAAGTACTGCTTGCTTTTCGAAAAATTTGGCCCGGCTTGAAAATTGATCGAACTCGTCACATTTTTTCAATCTAGTGGTTAAGAGTGTCAATTTTTTTAACCATAATTTCTCTTTCTTGTATCAAAACAGATCTTCCCAGCCAATCAAGAGCGATACTTCGTCGTCACACATCGTCTTTTCAGACCGTTTGCTGCTCGTTTTGTTCGTATCAATGTCAGAACTTGGTATGGACACATTGCTATGCGGGTTGAACTCTACGGATGTGTGCTTGGTGAGTACAAATGCAGTACTTATCTCAGAAAGACGTTTCTCAGTGCAGCTCCTGAAAACAGATGTGTAAAATATATATGGTTGGCAGTGATAGCGTTTCTCTCTTCTACTTATTTTTGTTTCGACGAACAGTTCAAAGTTTTTAAAAGAACTTTTGAAAACGGTACAAGTGTATTTGAGTAGTTTCATGTATGTGTATGTCGTAGCCTCGAGGGTATCTGCCATTGTGAGCATCACATTAAAAAATGGAATCATTCTCAGAATGTTCTAAATGGTATAAATCGGAGCATACAATACAGTGATGTGAATGGTGATCCACGAACCACGACGAAGCTGTGTCAAGGGCGTGCATGTCACGTATCTCTTTATCATCTTCTAGGCCTTTACGCCCAAGCATCGATATCACTATGTATATTCTCCACACTGTTTTATAGACATTTCCTATGGTGCTTACGTGGAGAATTTGTGATCTATCATGAACTTCTTCATTCGACTATTCTTTTCTTTATTCTTATTGCCTCAATGTTGGAATTAACAATAAAACTGCGAAGAGAAACTAGATGGTAGTTACAGATAAGGGCTAAATGGTTGACTGATTATAGCATTATAATGACATTCTATCGCTTAGGACGTCGTTGTAACCGACCAATGGGGCTCCAGACAGGCGCAATCAAAAACAGCATGGTTACTGCCTCGTCTCAGTGGAATAATTATCATGCTGCCTTTCTTGCAAGACTTCACTGGAGTCGCCGCGGACGATACATGGGGGCCTGGTCAGCAAAGCACAATAATCGTTACCAGTACCTGCAGGTGGATTTTGGAAGGGCGGCAAAAATAATCAGAATTGCTACTCAAGGACGTCAAGACGCTGATCAATGGGTTACACAGTATTACGTGATGCACAGCTTAGACTTACTTCGCTTTAGTGAATACAAAGAGCGCAACAGCAGGAAAGTGAGTATACAGCGCTTATACTCTTTACCAGGCCTAGTTTCTCATTCATGAAGAGTGTCCGGCTGTTTAGAAATATTCGAACTGTCTGGGTTGACGGCTAAATTTCTCAAATTTGCGCATTATTTTAGAGGAGATTTAGGTGTTACTCTCAAAAAAAGGGTCGATCGTTTTGTACAATTACAGCTTTGATCAGTTGGGCTGAACTTATAGCAAGCACCCAATGGGTTAAAGAATGCCTTTAGTTTTCTATGGAGTGTCGAAGATTGCGTTAGATTCGCTTGTTTTATAACACTAAATCAAAAAATCGCTGTATAGTTTTCATTCCCTTACGATGCGTATGAATTGCCTCAAAGGTGTGGTAACTTAAAAGCTGCTTCTTTTTTCCACAGTATTTCACTGGAAATCGTGACCGCAACTCTGTTGTTATGAATCCGTTTAATCCAGCACTCAAATGCCGTGCCGTCCGAGTGGTGCCTTGGGGATGGCGCTCTCACATTTCTATGCGAGTTGAGTTGTATGGATGCTTCACAGGTATGTAGATAAGAAATAACAAGAATCAAATAGGTAAAGAAAATAGAGGTAGTCAGGATCCTGTGAGTAATTGTTGTCTTGAGGTTTTAGAACAACTATGTACCAACTAGCATAAATTTGGTCAAGAAATTAAGTTTGGTAAGAGCGTCGAAAAGTTAGGTGTTGTCAGTTTTTTTTGCTCATTGACCAAAACCCGATTCACATGTTTTTTAGATCGTTGTACGATGCCTCTTGGTATGGAAGATCGTCGTATCCTCTCGGGTCATCTTCGGGCCTCGTCGTCCTACAACTACAACCACGGACCTGACAGAGCACGTCTTAATATCGTCAACGGGCATGGACGAACAGGAGCCTGGGTAGCCAAGTATCGGAACACCAAGCAGTTTCTACAGATCGACTTGAGACGGTTAAGCCTTATCAAAGGAATCGCTACACAAGGAAGGAGGGAAGCTCATCAATGGGTGAAGAGTTATACACTTTCATACAGTAGGACGGGCCTGAGGTTTATCATGTACACTGCCTATGGCCGAGTTAAGGTAAGGACTGTCTGATTTTTTGCCTTTTAAGACGAGTTTTTCACGTCGCCCATGTTGTGAAGCCATCCCTTTGTTCGTTTGCGAGCTTTGTGCATGATGCATAACTCACTCATTAATTTAAGTGTGTTTTCAAGAATATTTTTTCCAAGGTCATGCAGTATTAAATCATGCACATTTTCACCTGTTTTCTTTTTTTCTTTTTTCGTCGATGGCATTTTTTTTTTGGTTTGAAAAGTTTTATTGAAACATCAGCATAATTTTAAATTTCTACTGTTTCAGCTTTTCCGTGGCAATTATGATATTTATCACACTGTATCACACCGCATCATCCCACCTATCAAAGCGCGCTTTGTCCGTCTGCATCCAAGAAGCTGGCGAAGTTACATTGCGATAAGGGTAGAGTTGTATGGATGCCGAGCCAAAGGTGAGTGCCTGAAAATAAATACTAAACGTTCATTGTCTTAACTGCCATTGTCACCGTTAACATTATCTATACCTAGCAAAAAGAAAAACACCTGGAGAATTTTGTGGGCATGAAACGATGAAGAAGCAACTTCTTTCGTTAAAGCTCTTTAGCATTTGAGTACAGAACACTTCGTTTGTAATACGTAAATTTATGACCGGTTTACTCCACCAAATTCCCTCTCCTCTCTTAAAGAATAGTTCATACTTATGCTTACGTTCGCTTTCACAGAGAATTTCTGCAATCGCCCTGTGGGTATTCAAAATGGTCGTATCAGGAATTCTGCCATGACAGCCTCGTCTTCGTGGGATGCAAACCACGGCCCCTACTTGGCAAGACTTCACCGCCCGCGTCGCGGACGGCTTATGGGAGCCTGGTCTTCCCGCCACAAAAATCATAACCAGTGGCTGCAGATTGACTTGGGAAAGGCCATGAAGATATCAGGTATTAACACTCAGGGACGGCAAGACGCTGACCAGTGGGTGACAGCCTATTGGGTCCTGTATGGATATGATGGGACGCACTTCTCATATGTTAAAGAATGGTGGGACAATTTTAAGGTATCGTCTGGTACTATTGTGTTGTGTTAATTTGTCTTTATAGACGAACCGTAACCGAGTACTGTAATGAACATTTTAGGTAACAATGTTGTTTTCTTTGAATCACTGGGCAACAAACTCCTTTTTGTAATGTAAGCAATATTCTAAGTTTGAATTTTAAATGAATTATAGGGTTAAAATGTCACGACCTTTTTTTTTAAGTAAGTTTCTTCATGTTGGGAGCTGTCGAACTTCAGCAAAGCCACGAAGCTGAGAAAAGTCAAATGCAAGTTCTGTTCAACTACCGAAAAAGTGTTCGTTGTTCATTCCTACTTACATAACATTACTTTATATTATTTTTAAGACTTTCCCAGGTAACTACGATAGAAACGGAGTTCAGACGCGATCCTTCAATCCACCAATATATGGAAGATTCGTGCGCATTCAGCCAAGAGGCTGGAGATCCCATATTTCCATGAGACTGGAGTTGTACGGCTGCCCCTGGAGTAAGTGATGTTTCATTTGTCACAAACGTTAAGCTAATATAAAAGCAGAAACAATGCAACAAACTTTAATAAATAACACGACAAAATATTTGGAACAATTAGTTGAAGGCGAGGTGAAACTTTATTGGCTTATTAATCCGCGAGACGAAGCGGAACCAATAATTTTTGAACAATCCTTTCATTAAACCTTTTTTAAATCTTAATTTCCTTCAACACTCACTATCTGCTTTATAAACCTACCTCCTAGAATATTTTATCTATTCAGATTTCAATAACTAACCAGTAAACCTTCATTCTAGAATCTTTGATCTATTTTGATTCCAAGATGTAGCTAGTAAACCTCCCTTCTAGAATCTTTAATCTCTTTCGATTCCAGTATCTTACCAGCAAAACCTTCCCTTTAGAATCTTCAATCTCTTTAGATGTCATGATCTTATTTGTAAACCTCCCTTCTAGAATCGTAGATCTCTTCAACTTCCGACATGCATTTAGTCATTTTCCCTTCCTACTTCTCTACACTTTATTCTAAGTTACCTAAGATAATTTGTGGTTATATTAAGGTACACTTTTAAGCTGATACCTGCTCCTATCTTCATTCATGTTTTCTGGATATTGTGTCGATATCTCAAAGAAAACGCACACATGTCTCGAGGGGGAAAACGAATTGATTATTGTTACTCGAATTTGCTTCCAGGTAAATGTGATATTCCACTCGGTTTGGAAGATGGACGTATCCCTCACCCAATGTTCCGAGCGTCGTCTTCGTACAACTTCTACTGCGCGGCAAGAAATGCCAGGCTCCATCAGCGCCGCGCTGGAAGAAATGGAGGGGCTTGGTGCTCACGTCATAGAAACAATAAACAATGGCTGCTAGTGGACTTTGGAACTGATACTGTAGTCACGCGGGTTTGCACTCAAGGACGTCACAATGCTGACCAATGGGTGACCAGCTATTATGTTTCATTCAGTAGCAGAGGTCAGCGGTTTATAACCTACAAGGAAGGACGCAGAACAAAGGTGACAACTTGTGTTAATTTATTCAAGTGAAACGTAACTACCTACCCCACGACCTAAACTAAAATTCTTATGTGCTGAGTGTACAGAGTTGAAAGGCTATGCAATTTCTATTCCTTTTGAGGATCAACTTTAAACAAATAGGATTAGCAGGTGGATGCTCTGCAAATTTGTAAATTTTTTTCAGTATATTAGAAGACTGGAACGAAAGGTTGCCATTTTTCTAAATCTATTCGAACTTTTCTAATCAAAAATTGTTGGTATATGTATTCTCCTGCCTCATTTTGGAGCCTTGTTTGACTGCACTGCAGTTGTGATAGAAGCAATGATAACGCGTCCAAGTCCATAACAAGCCTGCCCCTTAAATCCCGCAATGAATAAGCTCCATTATCTCTGGGATGGTGAGAACTGCCAGGGACTGTTTCCCCTTTAGGAATCTCTTTTAATTGAGTTATATAGTAGCTGATTTTGTTTTTCTCACCTGCTCACCCGCGTATGATACTTGTTGGATCTAAGTTAGTATTATGATTATTATCTGGCATTGTAGCCTCTCCTAACATTGTTGTATTTGGTTATTTCTTCCCTAGATCTTCTCTGGAAACTATGACCGGTTTATCGTCGTTTGTAACCGTTTCTTGAGACCCATAAAGGCTCGATACTTCAGGCTCCACCCAGTCACATGGCGAAGTTGGATATCTATGAGGGTAGAATTCTTCGGTTGTATTGTGGGTGAGTGAGATTTAACGTTGCTCAGCGCCTGGAATAACTGTTAGCAAAACGTACTGCGCTAGCAATGAAATAGAGTTTTATTCAGTGGATAGCGTTATTCACCCTTCGAGCAACCGGGGTCGTGTTTAAACGTCTTATTTCAAATATTTCGAAGAGTAGCGCCTACAAAAGTCTTTTGAAGGCATGATAAATTTTGAACAATGCAAAATGATATTTCTATCTTCAAGAGCAACTCCTGTATGACTAGAAACAGGGTTCGTATGGGTCGTAAAAGAACCGTAGAGTCATGGAATTTCCACAACTTTGTTTTCTAGGGCTAGAAAGTTTATTATTGGTCATGGAAATTAGTTAAGAGGGACATTTTTGTGAACCACAAAGGAATACATGCGTTCTTTCGGCGACCCTTTAGTAGTTAAATTCGTGATCGTAGATCATGTAAGCTTTAAAAAGGGTCCTTGGAAAGGTCACGGAAAAGAAATGGAATTTTATGAGTTTCTTTAGCAGTAGAAAACCCCGGTCAAAACTCAAACACAGCTTAAAAATAAGTTGTTTCATATTCATTGCTATTTACCGTCTGTTAGGTCCACAATGTAACAAACCACTAGGAATGCAAAACGGCCGACTTCGAACTTCTCAGATCAGTGCATCATCCAGCTGGGACAAAAACCATAGTCCGAACAATGGTAGACTCCACTTCAGAAGAGCAGGTTCCCGGATGGGGGCGTGGTGCGCACGTCACAACAATCGTTATCAGTGGCTCTCGGTTGATTTTGGTCACCCAATGAGAATCATTAAGATAGCAACTCAAGGACGTCAAGATGCCGCTCAGTGGGTGACTCAGTATTATTTGTCCTACAGCCAGGATTATGTTTTCTTTGCGGAATACAAACAAAATAGTGCAAGACGGGTAAGAACTGAGAGAATTTCAGTCCAAGTATATCGAGCTAAAAATACATAAGGGCGGTATTCAATTGACTCTCGGAAAACCGAAGCCAAAGTAATCCGTTACCAGTCAGAACAAAGGTTTACATTATCATCAGCCAATGAGAACTTCATGTGAAAAACAAGCAAACTGATTAATCTAAATGCATCATATGGAGGAAAGGAAAACGCGAGTGGTCAAGTCGCGGTTGTTTTTAGTCTTGTTTCTGGTTGTTTGAGAAGATGGTGCAAGTTGTGTGGACCAATCACAGAGCAGAATTGAGTGAAACTACTAAAAGCAACTACTTCGACAATCAGTTGAAAATTGCTGCAAAATGCTATTGTAAAGTTGAACTAAAAAGAAGATGTGGAAAACAACGCTGCCTTTAAGTATTCCTGACCAAGAGGAGAAGAACTTATACTTGTAATCATTAATACACTTTGCCAGGAGCCCAAGTGATGGGTCTGATGTAGATTTAGATTTAGAAGCTCTAAAGCCTGTTCTCAGGTTTACGCAACTTAGAAAGAGTAAATCGTTAACTTGAGTCAACTTGGTTTGTATGTCAACCTTTGATGTATTCTCATTTTTACTTTAGTATTTCACTGGAAACAGAAATCAGAATTCGATCGTCCAATATCGCCTGTTCCCCCGCATAATAGCTCGTTACATCAGAGTTCACCCATGGGGATGGTACAGACATATCTCTATGAGAGTGGAGTTCTATGGATGCGTGCAAGGTAGATATAATTCTCGTGCACAAGTAATACTGACTTTTCAATAGTATTGTGAAATAACATTGTGTATCTTTTCAAACTTTCTTGATATCGTAAAAGGGATAAATGAAAATAGTGAGACCTTGATTTTAAGAACTTCTCTCCGACGCAGTCAACTATAATTGAGGGGCGAACTGGTTAGGGTGAGAGCGAACTTGCGTTACTGCAGGGGGCGAAGTTGCAACGGGGCGAAACCTCCAGATACCTAAACGACGAGTATACTTTTTCTGTCTCGTCCCATTTCCCAACCATTTGAAATGGTTGCACTTAAAAGAGGTGGGCCGTTTTTTATGAATTTTTCTGAATGTGGTTATGCATTTCGCTCAGTGTGCAAGGTATTCAAGGATAGTGAACCCTCTTCTCTCCTGTCGAAATTTCTTATGGAGTGTCCCCTTAAGTCACTTAAACTTCAGTACGCAGCGTTTATATACACAAAGTTTAACGCTACTTCAAAGACAGTCAAATTTGAATCCTCTGTATCGTTTTAAAAAATAATACTTTTATTGGATCTTCTCGCAGCAAGATGTTCCGTACCAGTTGGAGTGGAAGACAAACGCATAACTGATGGCGCCTTGACAGCTTCTACCTACTATAACCGTTACCTTGCTCCTTGGCATGGGCGTATCAACCACCGCTGGTCATGGAGTGCGAGGCGCAGCGCGCGCGGTCAATGGCTCCAGGTGTACTTTGGGGTGTTAGCCAGACTAACTGGAATTTCCTCCCAAGGACGCCAAGATGCTAATCAGTGGGTCAAGAGCTTTGTGCTAACCTTTAGCAGAGATGGAATTAAGTTTATCAAGTATCCAAAGGTATTTATGAATTGCTAAAGCAAAAAAAAAAAATGATCCGTAGGTTTCCGTTAACTCGAATTTTCAGGAGGAAATCGAAAAGACGTGAAATAAAGGTTCTTCGGGCATTTAGGCTTTAAGTGCATTGATAAACAGACCCAACCCAACGTCTCAGGACAAGACCTAAGTTTGAGAAGAATGGAACTCAATTTTAAGTTGATATCAAGAACTGTGGAATATGTCTTCTTTTGAAACTTTTTTCAGCTAAGTGTCATTATGATTAAGATTACATTTTTCACCGTAAAGTGACTCAGATATTCAATTCTGCCTATTGGCTTTCCAGTGAGAAGATTTCTATTCCATGTATTTGGTTCCTTACTTTTGGTAGAAAGGAAAACTTAAAAACTTTTCTTTACTTTTAATTGTTCGTGTTTCAGGTTTTCTCAGCCAACAGTGACCGTCATACAATAGTAACAAACACTTTTGTCAAGTCCATCGCAGCTTCATATGTCCGTGTTCTTCCTCTGACTTGGTACGGCTGGATGTCAATGAGATTGGACTTCATAGGCTGTCCTATTGGTAAGTCCAGCGACATGGAATCTTTGCTTAGTGGATTGTAGCGCGTCTACCAACAAGCTTCTAATCTGATTTTTTAAATACTTACTATATACTGGCTGTAGGATTGATGAGAACTACTTTCTGAAAGTTATTTTTTGGGCTCAAACATTTATGGACACTTAATAGGAAAATTCAAAGGTGTTTTCTGCACATGGTTTATTTGTTAAGAAGTAAAGAAACTTACCAATGTTTCGGTATTACTTCATGATTACGTTAATGAGTATTTCTCCCGTTACCTTGACAACAGTGTCACGATGATACCGAAAGGTCTTTAAAGTACTTTACTTTTTATTTGTCTTTGTATTTTGTAACCTCGACCTTTTCGCTCCCAAGATCTCAATAACAATTCTTCTAACCATTTGCCACACAATTCTTATGATGTCAGCTTTGAGAATTTGTTATTGGGTCAACTAGTTCTGAAAATCACCAAATTGATTTTTTTCTTTATTCTCATCACTTGTCTGCTTGATATTGTATTGATTTTGTAAGGAGAAATTCTGTCTTGGTCACTCATGGGTATAAAAGGGTTAACTTATTCATTTATTCTTAGATAAAAAAGTATTTGTAGTGATCTCAAACAAAGAAAAATATTAATACATTGGGTAGGAATACCCGACATGGACTAAAAGCAATGCTTGAAGCATTTGATGTTATTATTTGTGTTATTTTGAGTTGTCATCTTCATTACTCGTTCTATAGCTCCTCTCTGCAATCGTCCACTGGGATTGCAATCTGGAAGAATCCCCAATGCAAGAATAACCTCGTCATCAGCGTACAATGCACGATACACAGCACCCAACGGGCGGCTAAACAAACCATTCTGTTGGATTGCAAGACACAAAAATCACAACCAGTGGTTCAAGGTGGACTTTGGTAGAGTTACCACCGTGAGAAAGATTGCCACGCAAGGAAGAAGAGATGCCAACCAGTGGGTGACACGATACAAGCTGACTTACAGCTTAGACACACTGCACTGGGCCACTTACCGACAGAAGAGTCAAGATAAGGTGAGGTTTGACAAGAATCTCTTAGAGAGTGTTATGTGGTTATGTGGAGTGGAAGGAGCTTAGCCGTATACTTAGGGCATTAAGAGCTCCTTTATTTGGTGGTCGTTCAATTTATTCTTATGACCTCATTGTTTGATTCCATGTTGATGAAGTAAGGGAAAATTAGATGCTAGTATATCTTAGACTTCAAAGAGTTTAGAAACCAAGCATCACTATTTCTGTTAGGCTCCGTAAGTGAACAGATTGATGTAAGGATGTCTTTCCCGGTATATGAAAATCTTTCTGTTTTTCTTTCTCCAGTACTTCACAGCCAACCGTGACCGTATCAGCATTGTTGAGAACGTTCTTTCTCCTCCAATACAAACTCGCTACCTCCGTCTGCATCCATGGGGCTGGCATGGTTACATCTCTATGAGAGCTGAGTTTTATGGCTGTCGCTCGGGTGAGAAACTTTAATAAATAAATAATAAATAAATAAATAAATGATTTAGCAATGGACATCCACTGGGTGGCTATTCTTGTCCACTGTTCCAGATCGAATTGGAATTTGGAATGTTGGTTTTTGCGGAGGGAGGGAAACCGGAGGACCCGGAGAAAAACCCTCGGAGCAAGGACTTTAATAATACAACAGTCGTATGGGAGAAAAGTTAATTTCTACCTTGAGCTTGTTGTAGGCTTTGCAAAGGTGCACCTTAGCAATGGCGTATCTCACACTTCGGGCGAGATAGTTTTTGCCCCTCCTCATCCAAATGTATACATTTTTTAAACACAGAAACAAACATTGCAAAATGAATGAAACTCTCACTTGTAGGCGATTGTCTTTAATAATCCTAGAAGAAAAACTTGACTTATCACTCTTAAAGTCTTCGACGTGTCACTCGTCTTTTACCGGCGATAGCTTATGTCCATGATCTCTTCATTTATGACGGAGCTTCATATGTCATTACGTTTTATGTATTAGATCCTTGCCATGTTCCGCTTGGTATGGAAGATGGTCGTATCACCAAACAGGCTGTAACAGCGTCCTCCATGTATAACTATTATTACGGTCCGTGGAATGCCAGACTTCAGTCCAGAAATCATGGATATGTGCGCGGAGGATGGATCGCAAAGTAAGTCCTACGGTTTTTTTTCTAAGACAATAAAACACTTTCAGGTTAATTTGCCTGTTGATTTACTGTAAACAGACCGAAAAAAAGCAGCTGCATAGAGTAGCTGATGAAAGCAAACAGTTGCTCTGATCCCAAGGTTACATATAGTTAGTTCTGGGACTGGAATAACTTAAACACGCCAACTTTTATGTTAATAACTTTCTGTTCTTTTTTTGTTTGTTTGTTTTGTTTTTTCATTATGTTTTTTCGTCCACTTAGTCGCTCCCTTCCCATTTTTTGAGTTGCTAATTCATTCGAAGGGTTTATTTCATCTTTTCCACCTTCAAAGTTAGTAATTAAAGAATTAAAACTAAAAATGATGTTCTTTCAAAGATAAGCACACTTTTCCTTAAAGTGGGACTAGACGAACAGGGAACCCATGAAATACTGTTCATTGGTTAGATGCTCCACAGTATACCCACAAGTATCATGACGCCTTAGCGAGTTAGACCTTGACAGTTTCAAAAACAAAAATACATACTATTTGATGTTTTTCAACTTCTCTCTCCAGGTATAACAATAGGAAACAGTGGCTCAACATAGACTTGGGTACCATCAGTCGACTAAAAGGATTCGCTACTCAGGGAAGATATGACGCGGACCAGTGGGTGACAAGCTATACAGTGTCCTACAGTATGAACAATATCAGATTCATCTCGTACAGTGAAGGACGAGGAGTAAAGGTGATAGTGCTTGCATCTTTTCTTAATGCTAACAATCAGCATTCTTGGCTTTTCAATGACGAGACAATTACAAATTAAAGGATTGAAATATATTTGACATTCTAAGTGCTGATCGAATGGTGTGAGTAGAATTGATCCTCTCGGGGGATCTCAATTTAAGAAGTTGCAACAGTTTACGCTTCAAAAATCTTCAAGGAGGTTTGTGCGCACATACTTGATTTCCGCCGATTTCTCAAATCCAGTGTTCGATTCTCCGGATTATTGGCTGGTCATAGAGCGTATTCAGTCGAGCCCATATCTCTTTGGCGCTTCACAACCACCTGAGCGACGAAGTCATATATTGGGAGCGGAGTAAATTGCCCGCAAAAGCATTTGATCGCGGCTAATTCACACAGTAAATATATTTGACTTGTTGATGATAGGTGTCCAACTGACTCTCAAGAGTATTTCTTATCCCTGTCCTAAAGGTATCTCTTTCACTAAATAAGGTTAAACTGAGTAAAGTCCTGAGAAATGTGCTCCCTGAAAGAACACAACACCCAGTCATAACCATCGCTTAACACGTCTCATTTTAACTTTACAGATTTTCTTAGGCAACGTTCAAAGGAACTTCGTGGTAACCCACCGCTTCCTTCGACCGTTCAAGGCTCGCTATGTGCGCATTCATCCGAAAACGTGGCGCAGCCATATTTCCATGAGGGTTGAACTTTACGGCTGCAGACTGGGTAAGGCATTCAAACGAAACACCGCTGATAATACTCAGCAAGTACATTTTACCAGGATGGGGGATCTCTAAGAAACAAATGAATTTCCGTCAGTTCATTTGAATCACATCGTTACCAACATAATCACAGGCAATTGTCAGTCATCGGGGAAAAGGAAAGTACCTCATTGGCAATTAAGCTGAACATTTTCGAATCGTCCCTGTGTTTTAAAGAGTAATCTCCTAAATTTTGGTTGATTAGAAGAGCTTTTAAACTTTTATGACGTTTAATGAAGAAACGGAATTGTGATAGTAAACTTGGTTCAATACCTTCTCATACGCTGCGCGAGAGCTTCCGTCTTCTTACCTTCATTGCGAGCTAAGCGAAAAAAATAATGTTAATAATGAATAATTAATTAAACCATGGTGTATTTACAGGCAAACTGTGTAATCGTCCACTTGGAATGCAAAATGGCCGCATCAGAAATGTAGCGATCACATCATCTTCCCGCTGGGATAACTTCCACGCTCCTCATTTAGCTCGGTTACAAAACAAACGCAGGGGGCGGTACATGGGCGGTTGGTCTGCCAAGATTAATAATGCTTACCAGTGGTTACAAATAGACTTAACACGTCCTACTAAAGTGGTCCGTATATCGACTCAAGGCCGGCCCACAGTCAATCAATGGGTGACATCGTATTACTTACTTTACAGTCAGGATGGTGTTTATTTTGCGTATTATTTTGAACGCAACACTATGAAGGTACGTTTTGTTTCTTGATCTTCAGTCGAAGGGACTGTGAAGGCCACGCAGGAGGGAACATGAGGGTCCGGGAATTTAGAGGATCTCTGCTTCAGGAGATGTGTTTTAATGTTAAATGTTTGTTGAGAAAAGTAGACCTCAGATATTATTACACGACTCGGGCAGTCAGAGGGCCAATAACTAAAATCAACCAATCAAAATGCTCTATTG